ACGACACAATTCCTTTTTGCACAAAGTTCACGCAAAAAAATCGATGACCTACATCCAATTAGACGACTACTGATGGGTGACATTAGATGAAGTGGCGTTGGCTTCTTCACAGAGTGTAGAACATGTGCAAGCCTTGTCCTTTGAAAAAACAAAAAACATCACAAAAGCCGGCAAACTAAAGTCTAAAAAATGCACTTCACATGAATGGATTTTCGTACTTCCGTTTTGGCCAGAATAGTCGGAAATACTTTGTCTGAGTTTGTTAGTATTTTAGTGTTACACTTTAGGTTGGTTTTCTTTGAGAGTGAAAGAGGAAAATTATTTGACGTCGAACTTAACACGGATGAACAAAATTGTCTTTAATTAAGCAAAGGTCAACATTTTAAAGTGTCTCCACTGCAATACATTAGCATGTACCAGAAAAACCGATTAAATTAGAAAATAAGTTAGACATGGCGAAATAGTACTATGACACTTAAACATTTGGAATTATTTTATTTTCTCTTTAGAACCCTAATTGCATATTCGAGTATATCTTTTGGAGAGGTATAAAATCCTAACGAATCTTGGTATTTATATTTGAATCTTAGGCACGTTTGTGTCCACTGATAATCAATTTAATAACCATTTTGTAAGTTATACTTTCGGGACGTCTATTTTGTTATTGATTTTATAACATTTATATAATTCTTTTAATTTCTTATATACTTATATAACAAAGAAAGCCCGATGGAGTTATGATCCGAGGTGTTCAAAATACTTTGAACAGAATTTTGTATTACATCGTTCGATGGAGTGTTTTATGATAAGAGTCTAAAACCTCACATGCAACGCTGATAAGAAAGTGGTTGCTTGTGTTGAGATTTTATGTCACACACGATGGGAAAATTCTCCACATATCAAATTCTTTTATTAGAACAAATAGTTTATTTTTTATACAGGCGAGCTGCGGCTGTCTGTATATTTTTACATTTTTTGGTCCTTCGCAAAAATTGAGTTTTCACCCACCAGTGGTAAGTGACTCAATTGAACCAGCAAAGGGAAAATTATAAAAAAATATAGCAATTTTGAGTGAGGAGCTCAAGAATTGTTAGATTTTCTGTATCACGAGGTGAACAGTTTTTTATTAAAAAAAATATGGAGAAAGAATTAGATTTTTCCATAGAGTCTTTGGAAAAAAGACTTGATGAGAAGGAGAGAATGAGAATGTACAGGCGGTTTAATCGAGGCGCACAGGAGATAAACGTCATAGGTGTATATTTAACGGAAAGAATACCCTTCCGGCCAGGAGGTCTACTAAAGGAATGGGAAAATATTATTAAAGACAATTTGGCAGAACTGAAGCAACTTGCATCCGAAATCAAGATGAAGATATAAATTCAGATCTGGTGCAGGTGACCCAAATGTGTGAAACCATTGTAAAGGAAGTGGATGGTATCCAGTGGGATTATCTGGAATTCTATTGTTCGATCTACGCCAAGAACTCTAGAATATATGATTTCGCATTAGAGGAAATATACAATGAAAAATGAATTGCCTACAATGTCAATAAAGAAAGCCCTAACCGAAATGGAATATTTGAAGACATCATCTATGGAGATCAGAAAGTTGATTCCAAAAGTTTCAAATGTGGAGTTTTCGGAAGATATGTTCTTCAAATTGAATCGTATGGCCGACATATATTACGATGTAAGGGAGGAGCTGTCTAATAAGCTGAAATCTTCCAATGACATTTTGGTGCCCCCGGCAAGCCCTTACTGTTGGGGGAATTTATTTACAAACGGCAATGATTGAGACAGTCCACTGAAAAAAAAAACATGAACTAGAACCAAAAGTCTATGAAAAGCAAAAACAAGAAGAAAACCAGGAGTTTAGCGCAGCAGTTCAATAAAAAGAAAGATGACGGAACGGATCTTAGGATACAGGAAAAAGAAGTCGTTTACCCTGTAGATGAAGAAGTTTTAGAAGAATGTAATATAGAATATAATGGTGATGTTTTCCCCATGGATGTGGAATCCAAGGATGGGTTAAAAAGGAATGCAGTTCACTAATCAGGTTTTGTTCACGTGTTTCAGCTTGACAATAACCTCAAAATCAAAAGAGGTTCACAAAAAACAAAGGTTCGGAATGTGAGTTATATATATCCAATATATCCATAATATATCCAAAATAATTGTTAGGCGGTCGATTGCTAGCAAAATTTATTTGAAAGAAAGAATCATAAACTTTTTCTAGTATTGATCAATCAAAAATTGCGTCATTTTAATTTCCATAGATTATTTCGAAAAAAAAAAATTTTATATATTTTTTGTTTTTTATAAGTGAATAAATTAACTATTTTTAAAAATGTTACAGTTCATTTATTGCGTTTGCAATTTTAATTGATTTAGTTTTGGCCACCAGTGTATATCAACGAGAAGGGTTTCAATGTATTCGTAACTTAAAATTGAAATGAAGACCTTTAAAAATATTTAAAATTGCGGCTATATAGTTTTGCAAGGAGGTCCTAATAACAGGCACTCTGGTTGGACAACTAGGGCAGGAACTTCAATTTACAGAAAATATAACGGGACATTTGGATGGGATTATTTCAAACATTAACCTATATTTAATTATTTCTAGAAATATATTTATATTCACCAGGAATCCTATATGCCAAATTATAGACACTTCGATGAGAAACTTCGCATAAAAAGTTAACACATGTGGATAAAAAATATTGACCCAACCCTTATGTGAAGTTTACGAAAAAAATTGACCTATATATGCATGTGAGCCCACAAAAAACCTTTATACTATATATTCTTGTGGGCCAATATTGAAAATTTTTACTAAGAAGATTTTCTAGCCAGTAAGAACCCAAAATGATAAACTATAGATTATTAGGTGGAAAAGTCCAAACTCGTGATTTCAACAAACAGATGAGTAGAATAGAATTTTATTCTGCTCAACATAAATATCAACCCAATATCTAGTCGAAACTTTATCCTAATTCGTTTTTAACGACCATGGACTCTAAAAATCACTGTCCGAAAAATGACTATATAACCTGTTTTAGTAGTTTCAAAGTTTTGCTCATATACAGTATTGTTCGAAACCTAAGCAACTTTTTCTTAGTAAGTAATCATGGTATTTTATTATCTTGTTAAATTGAATTATGAAAAGTACTTATTTTATTAACTATTGCATTATACAGTCGACACTATACAGTCGACTCCGCTTTACTGACACGGAAAAAATTTGGATTTTTGAACAGAAAATAATTTCAGTTATCCGAACTCATCATAAACGAAACATTTTTTACTTTTACGAATTTCAATAATCTCTATATCATAGCGAATGTGTATGTTTCGATTTTTTTTTTAAGAAAATATACGATAGAAATTACAACTAGTTAACATGTTCACTGCTTATGGGAATTTTATTATGAACTGTAAAACTTATGAACTTGTAACGAAATCCATCGTCTGCCTGTTGCAATCGTAAGACCTATCTTAAATACAGCGTTTGATTTTAAGAACCTAAAATATCGGCCGATTTTAAGTCTTTTTAACAGCTGGCTAAGCTGTAATACCCAATATGAGGTTGTAAATGAGTATAATACTTCCTTGCAAAACTTGTCACCAGACCTCAATCCCATTGAGAACCCTTTCAGCATTTTAAAACGAAGGATTGGAACACGTCGCCTTAAAAACAGACAGGAACTAATGAACTGCTTAAAATCAGAGTGGGAAGCTATACCAACAACAATTCTAACAAATCTCATAGAATCAATGCCAAAAAGATGTGCGGCAGTGATAAAAAATAACGGGTATCATACGAAATATTGAAAGTTGCTTAGGTTTCGAACAGCTGCTTTGTGAGTTAATTTTGTTTTCATTTCTTTATTTTTTTCCAAAGAAATATAATTTAAATTTGTTGTTATTTTCAGATTATAGACACATAGTAGAATAGTAAATAAAATATATATTTTTTATAAATCAATTTAACGATATCATATAAGACCATGACTACGTACTAAGAAAAAGTTGCTTGGGTTTCGAACAATACTGTATTTGCCAAAAATCTGAATCATTCTGGAATGACTGGCTGAATTTGTATTAAACCACTCGAGCTATTTTCAATGACACCCTAAAAATATGCCACACGTCCTAAATTTATTTCTTCTTTCCTACAACATAAAAATAGAGTTACAGATCATATTATTTCTTTATGTTTACATTTTTCCTTACTTATGCGATTTGCTTTGATTGTGCAAGAATATGTTTTTATTAGTTATTAGAATATGTATTTTTATTGAAAAAAAAATCCCCAAAATTATTTAAAAATATCCATGATAATGAGAAAGATAGTGTGCTCATTTCGAAAACAATGGCGACAAATACAAATTACAATATTCGAGTGTACGAATCTATTGCTCATTTGATGTTACTAATTACTTTACATGACATCGCTTTGAATTTCACCCTAAATTCCATTATAATCAATATATTTACTCCATTGACGTATGTGAATCAGGATTAATCGAGTTAAAAATATTTATCATCCGCTTTTATCTACAAACACAAACGTTTAGATTCCATATTAAAGCCACAAAGTAATTGGTACATATTTCTAATTTGACACCAAAATTAATCGATGCTAAAAATTACTACAGGTATCATTTTCGGTCAAATGGAAACTAATAGCCAAATCTATGTACAATATATGATATCAGGTGTCTTAGTCTAAATCTATTTTACAGAAAAGGGTGTGTTTGCATTTTATTGCTCCAAAAGCAAGCAAATATTAAATAATTCATTCATTAAATGGCCTTAGCCAACTTTTTTAATTTATTTATACCGAACTTTGTCCCCATAAAATGTGAAACAAATTGACCTCCATTCAATAAGGAAACACTAATTACGGACAGCAGCCATTAAGTGCACTCTTATGGGTGTATTCATGTGTATTATATGGTTTCTCATATTTCGTTTCTGTGTTGGTGTGTTTCTTTCCAGGGTGTAATTATTCGTGAAGTTGAGGATGGTGTACGCTGTGAGCAGTGCAAAACAAATTGTCCAGGATTTGCTGCCCATGATTGGAGGTAAGTGATACTACGCTATTTGTGTTGGAATAAATAATTGAAAATGTGTTTGAATATTTTTTATTTAAAAACCATCAATAGTTATAGTCGTTTATTTTTGGCAATTGTGATATAAAAAATAAAAATATGATTCATATGATACTTTATACGCATTCCTTTTTGCATCTGGTAAATGAACAATTTACGTTATTAAAATAATAGTATTTAATCTTAAGTACAGTCAATGCTCGGTATACGGATTGATATATTGTCAGATCCATCCGTTAAAACGTAAAGTGTACAATTGCAAACATTTTTCTCATTCGTTATATCCCGAATTCCTTAAACTGAGTATCCATTATAACGAGCGTTGACTGTACAACATAAATGTGATTTTACACCGGAAGTAGTGCTACACACACATACATAACACACATTTATGGCCAGCTCAGTGTTGAAATATTCCCACACGTTTGATTGAATTAGCATCGCTGTTGCCGTGCACTTAACTTCGATATGTGCTGCTAATTTCATTTTAAATATGACGAACAGGATTGAAACATTAAAAAAAGGAACCTCAACATACATATATGGGAAATTACAAAATTCTTTTAAAATTCCATAAAAAAGAATTTGAAAAAATTTTTTGCGAGCACGTTTATGATTTTTGGTACATAGGTTAAGAAAAATATGCTGATTCGAAATATGTTCGCTTTCACAAATTCGGATGATGCGCACAAAAGTTATAGCGATTTTAAATCTTGTATTTCAAATATAAATTAAATTAATTCCTATTTGTTGTAATTCGCGAATTTCTTCACAAATGGTTAAACACATTTGTTTTCTTTGCATATTTGTCAAATCACATTGAATTACGGTTAAATTGTCGCGAAAAACAAATAGAAGCATGAAGATATCTGAAAAGAAAATAAATTAATTTTTTAATTAAATCGAAATGTTTTTTGAATTGTCGATTTTTTTAGTATGGTTAAGGGAATACGGTTTTGCCTTAATCTCCTAAAATATGCGACGCTTTTTTCTTCAAATTCTTTTAGATGATTGTTAAATATCGGTATATTCATCTGATAACAGTTTCGACTGTAAAAATGACTAAATATATTGCAGCAACAATACATAAAAATTATCAATATTTAAAGGCATGCAATTCGCGTATTAGTTGAAATCAGTGGATGCGCATGCTGTTTTCGTATAAACCGAATCAATGTCTTTCCATAATTATGAATTTTTCGATGTTTAAATTAGCGGTCAAAGTGTGTCGCTCGATGCACTTTAGTATGCAAAAACCCTAAAAATGGCTAAAAATCACTCAACGTGCATACGATTTTTATGCGCATCCGATTTCAGTAATCTCCTCTGAAAATACACAAAATGACGCCTATTTTAAAAGGATCGGTTAAGAACCGCGGATGTGCCTCCACAATCGATTTTGGATAAAATACGCATATTATTCGCGAATCGATATATTTTTGACCTTTTTCACACAGATTCGCGAATATGATGACACTAGAATGATTGTATGTGAAATCAATTCGAAGAAAAACGCGATTATATACGCGAATTTGTCAAAATAAGTTTTTGCAGTTTTTCCCACATTCAAGGTACCTATATCCGCCGTTTTATTGGGCGGAATTGAACACGGATGGGCTCATTAGATCCGGCACGTAAAAAAACTAAAATCACGTGGGGTTCCACCGAATTTTAATGGACTTTCTTAATTTTAGACTCAAAAAATATGTTTCTTATAAAAATTTACGTCCCAAATTTTCGTCTTTGGAACCCAATTGCAAATAAGCTACGGTGAGCACATTCATGAGATATACACTAAACGAAGCAAAATCACGAGTTCTACAATCCTATAAACCCTTTAGTCCATTATCTGGATGCGCATCCTAATTATAAGAAAAATTCAAAAAACACCGAAAATCCGGCTTCAAAATGTCAGCATCCTTTTTGGGTGGATGCAGTGATGATATCGAAAAATCATACATTAGAATCATATTGTCCATAGGGTATTCTGCAACTTAGTCACCGATCACATATGCGTGCGTTGTGTAGTTTAGCCACAAATCAGGAACGAACACAAAAAAACTCGTTGGCTTCAACACATTTTCAACCATTTTTTTACATTACCACCATCACAGCTTCCACCCAACTTATTATTTATTACCAATATTTTAAGATTTTGACATGAACACTTCATTTTATAGAAATGAATTTAAATCATATGCAATATGTTCATATTTCGCGAGTTATAACCTTGCAAACCTCAGCTTCAAGGAATTTAAAAGATTTTTGTAATTTCCCATATAAAGGCTGCATATATAGGTAACCGGTATATATATTCCGCAATACAAACGTGTGGATGTCAATTTATTACATATGCAAACTGTTAGGAATACCATGGGGAGCTTATTTTAAATTGAATCAAATTGTTCTGGAAAGCAGTAAATTTTTTTTAGGTGGGGAGTGCTCAATGTTTTGTCATAAAGTGTAAAAATATGCTACTCTACAGATTTTTAATTTCAAACATAAGACATCACTTATGAAAACTTTAATAATATAATACTCGAATTCAGATATTTAAAACGTTTCAAAAGATGAATATATAGTCTATAGTATTTCGAGAGTTTTTACAACAATTTCTACCAAAACGGTGGGCAATTGCGCATTTCGAATGAGTATAAGGTTTTGTCATTAATTAAAAATCGTATGGTACCCAATGTATTTCGGTAGAACGTTTCTATTTTTTCATAAACTTAAATTATTTTCTGCTTGACTATGACTGCGGTCATATACATCAAGATTTGGAACTAGTTTTCTAAGATTTCCGTTTAGAATTACTTATAATCTCATAAATAATATTGGTTATATATCGAAATTCTGAAATTGAGAAGCATCGTTATAGACGGATCTGCCTTGAATTGTAATGGAGACTGGATTTACCCCTTAGAAGTCTGATCGAAAAAATGAACCACTTATTTATTCATCAATTGCTAACGTATCCCTTTTTAAGTAATACCCTTCAGAAATAATATACACTAATACTAGCGTTTTTTTCAATCCTTTTATCAATCCTCCTATTAGATCTTCAAGGTAGTAATCCTTATTGACCATACAACATTGTGGGTTATTGCTGTCGAAGAAAACAGTGAGTGAAACCTTCACATTTAACCAACTTAAGGTTTTTCCTTAAGCTGGTTATACTTCAAATGAAAGCTATTTTTTGGGCAATAATGCTAAAATTAATTTGCAAGGCTATATATATATATTTTTTTTTAACATAGCTGAAGCGGAGGTTCACCCCTTTATAACTCGGGAACTACTTAAGTATATGAACACAAGTGGATAGTTTTGGGTTAATTGATCTGTCGTTGCAAACTGCTCATGATATTGACCTCCAAACTTTATTTTGGTGGAAGCTGTGTCTACTTTAATGTAAAAAAATGTGTAGAAACAGTTTGAGGCGAACCAGTTTTTTATGTTCTCTATCGATTTGTGACTAAGCCACTCATTGCACGGTCTTCGTGTCAAAATAAAATTAGAAGCCAACAAAATAAGGACTACGCCCCTTATGTATCATTTTTCAAAATTTTAACTGCATCTACCATTAAATGATGCTGACATTTTGAAGCTGCGTTTTCTGTGTATCATTTCCGCTTCAATAAATGACCTCATACGGATTTTGATCTTTTTCGAAAAGAGAACTTTAAAAACTTCAGCCGAAAGATAGATGTACGCAATTTTTCTCAAAAATAGATTGTGCTGGCACATCCATGGTTCTTAATGGACCACATTGAAATCGGTATAGATCGATGTATTTTTTTAGGGTGCACACCGAAATCGGATGCGCGTTAATGGCATATGGAGTTTTCAGAAATTATTCGCGTTTTACGATTTTTTGGGTACTTCAATGTAACGTGTGGCACATCTTAGCCGTCAAATGAAATTTCGCAAAATATATGGATTGGAAGATAAACTTCAGTACTTCCTGGAAACCGCATGCGCATCAAATGATTTTGAAAATTACGCGATTTACGCGAAATTTAAAATGTATATTTCACAATATTATTTTATTTTAAGATTTATTCCTATTTATAGAATTCTCAGATTTATCGGAAGGGTCTTGATATAATCCGCAAGGCGTATACTTATACACAGAAAGTGATTATTATTATATATGTCAATTTTTCGGCGAAATTCGGGTAAAATAGCACAATATCCCCAACATTTTTTTCTGAAATTTCTTGTATACAATTAAAAAAATAAATATGATGACATTATTTTTTCGAAACAAAAACAAATATTTTTCCTCAATATCTTGTTTTGTTGTCGCTGTAATTTACAAACCGCTACACGGACTTGTGTGATTTTGATATCATTTGATTCATCATGGTGTTTAGATTATGTAGATATTTTTAAATTAATTTTTAGGTGTGTGTGTGTATGTCATTAATATAATGAAAATATTGATGTAATCTCCTATTTTTTTTTATTTTTCTCATATTTCGCGAAGATGTGCAACTTTATTGCGATTATTATAATATATTCATATTCTTATTTTACGGAGGAAGATCTATATCAACGTTTTTGGTCAATATAATAAACGGCGTATTTTTAAGATTTTTTTCTTATGCCCAAAATTAAAACCTCGATAACTTTTGCGCGCATCAACCAAAAATTTGATCGCGAACGGTTTCGGAGTCAGAACATTTTTCTCTATATATGTACCAAAAATCATTGATGTGCCACAAAAACAAAAAAGCTAATTTTTTGAAAATGGAATATTAAAAAATTGACAATATTGCCATATATAACATATTTTTTACTTATGACAATTAAAACATGAATTTATTTTGCGAACTTTATTGTAGGCTTATTTCAAATTTCTATCTCAAACGAAATTTCAAGTATAATATTCGCTCAACAACATTAGCCAATGTGTTTGATAACAACTCATTCCAAGTAAGCTTTTAGGCGCTTTTCATAACGGATATTGTTCA